CATTATTGTTAATATATATAATTCATTCATTATTCTGAAGGAAGTCTTTCACATTTTCTGGAGTTCTCCCATTAGTTCCAGTATCAATGTAAATATCTGAGTAAATTCTTCTATAAAAGGAAAAGTTAATAGGTGGGAACAATATAACTGAAAAACTTTGAATAAAACATCCATTAGAACAATTTGGGAATAGCTTGAGGCTAGAAAGTGAAAACTGACCACAAGACAGTGTTTCTTTTAGTTCTACCAAATGTGCCATAAATTTATTTATATTTGTTGAACTTGTAAGTATATTAAATGAATTATATTTGGTGTTTTGTTCATATCTTCTATAATCTCATTAGCTTTCATAACATCAATGTGTTTCATTAGGTTTTATAAAATGACTATCAAGTAAGGCTGGAATTAAAGAATTTCAAAGAAATTGGAAAAAAAATCACTTTTAATTTTCTTTGGATTCACTTCAGTTGATACTCTTCTGGTAAGAGAACTTTACTAAAACCTACTGAGATAATAAATATAATTAAGAATTAATGCTATCTCAAGTTATTAAATGTAATACTGAAATAACAAAAGGACAGTAAGAGGAACCACAACGAGGAAGAATGTGACAAAACACTGAGTGGCCTGGACAGGACAAGAGTGTCCAGATTAGAAATAACACCAAAAAGAGAAGGAGGGGATATGGGAAAAAAGGAGTGACCACTTTTTACTACCATTAAATAGGAGGGAAGGAAAACCACAAAGGAGAAAGGAAGAGTAGTAATGGGAAAGCAGGAGGAAACAAGGGCTTAGATATGTGTGAAATGGCTATCAATGACAAGTAGGAATGGAAACCATGTGTCTAGGGAAAGCAGAAACATCTGCTACAAGGTTAAGAGGACCCGGATAAGAGTCTGGAGGATCACAATGATAATGCAATTCGGCAACAAGTAGGAAGGAGCAGTGGATAAGGAATAAAAGAGAGGAGATAAGAGGCAGAGAAAAAAGTATACATTGGGTGAGGTGAAAGATGTAGGAAATGTCGCCCTAAAACTGGAGATAGAAGAGACTTACAGGTCATGAGAGAACTGTCCTGTGAAAGAGGAGACAGATACTACTATATAATGAAATGCAAGGGAAATGGTGACAATGAAAGCAAGGTGATAAGTACATTCTGTACACTGGCAAACAGAAGAGGTAAAAGGGAGACAGGAGTGGAACAAAGGGATAGCTACATGATCAGGAATGTGGATTGGATAATTCCACACACACAATGATAAAAGAGTGTCATATCCTGAAGAAAGAACAATGTGTGAGGTGTATAAGAAGAAATGGAAAATAAGGGCTGAGATACAAGGAGGTGGAGTAATAGAAACAAGGTTGTAATAGTTTTGAGAGGTTACCAAAGGAACCCCTTAAGGGGTGACCCAAAACTGAGAAAAGACCTGACTGAGAAGATGAAAAGGAAGACATGCATAATAAAGAAAAAGATGGAACCAGTCCAGACTGAGGGCACAAACAGCTAGAGCTGAAGAATGAGACACAGGAGACCAGAATAGAGGAATTTATCAAAAGAGGTGTGGCAAGTCAGCAAAAGAAGAAGGAACAACAGAAAGCAGAACAATGGTAGACTAGTGGGTGAGGAACCAATCTGAGGGCAGGATGCAGCCATGTCAAGAAGACAGCCCCTAATGATGTGCAGTGCCTCTTTGAACATCACAGGTTATGAAACACTCAAATGGAACAGGCCCAGAACTATGTCTGAAGATTATTTTCTATATGTACATGTTAAGAAGTAAAGGAAAGAAGACTAAACATTATTTAACATGAGTTAGTTGTTGAAGTAATTTACTTCAATGTTTCAACAAAATTAAACTTAATCTTAGTACAACTGTGCAGAGGAAAAGAATGAAGATTTTCATGTTGTCACTGTAGGACAGTGGAAGGTTTTGCTGCACGATACATTATCATACACTAGAACAATTTCACATTTTTACGTGGATTTTAGGTGGAAATTTAACAAGGCTGGTGTCATGCAAGTCTCTGAGGCAGAACAGCAAGAATTCAAGAGGAAAATAGTTGATCTGTGTATGGATGCGAGTCATCATACCAAAATTGTTGACTAGCTCATTCAAGTACAGGAAGTTAACTTAAGGATTCATTTTTGTTGCTGCCTAGCTCCTTCAAGTACAGATAGTTAACTTAAGGACTGATTTTTGTTGCTGCCTAGCTCCTTCAAGTACAGATAGTTAACTTCAGGACTGATTTTTGTTGCTGCCTAGCTCCTTTAAGTACAAATAGTTAACTTAAGGACTGATTTTTGTTGCTGCCTAGCTCCTTCAAGTACAGATTGTTAACTTCAGGACTGATTTTTGTTGCTGCCTAGCTCCTTCAAGTACAGATTGTTAACTTAAGGACTGATTTTTGTTGCTGCCTAGCTCCTTCAAGTACAGATAGTTAACTTTAGGACTGATTTTTGTTTATAACGTGTTCCTAACCCTTGGGGAAAAAATCATACTCTGATAACACTTGAATGGAGATGAAAATCAGGTATTATGTCAGATCCCAGATAATCTAACAATAGTGTTTAAGCCTACTTTTCTTGATATTTATATCAGTAATTTTTAATCAGTTTTATATTTTATAATAGACACTCTTCTTTGCTAAATTATATATGCAACCAAACTGGCATGTTGTGCATGTTTTTTTCATCATCTGAAAATTATTAAAACTTGTTAAATACCAATTTAACTTACATAAAAGTGACAAATACCAAACAAAAATTATATTTTATACATGAAGAACATCAACTATGAATGAAAATAATCATTACAAGATGAAAAAAGTGTCATAAAAAACATTAAATCACTGAATAAAACAGGTTCACATGTTAAAAGTACTAGGGGTTTCATATTTTTGTTTTGTTTCTTTAATGCAACTTCCTTGAAAATACTATAAAAAAGCTTATAATTAATTAATAGTTATTCAGATATAATAAATAAGAACTACCGGATAGGTGGTTTCTTAAATGCAAAGGAAAATATTTACATACTCAAAAATTGCACCTATTAGAGTTTGCAAAAGTTACCTATATGCTAAAGTGGCACTGAAGTTTTCTTGGATGTACATGTCTAACACTGGTCTGAAGTGTTGGTATTTTCTGTCTGATATCAATCGAATGATGAATACCTATAAGTTATAGAAATATTCATTATGAACTGCCCTCTAAAGATAATAGTGAATTGAAACAAACAATCCATTTTTCATTTTCTTCTGTGTGAGTTAAAATTGACTAAAGTTGTCTGACCTCCAGGTTCTTCCAGTTTAAGATAAGCATTATGATATTTTTAAATTTTCAACAGTCTAAAGCTTTAAGATGCAAATGTAAGAACATATTATTTTGTTAAATAAAAACAAGTGATATCTCTTACAGTAAATGTTACATAAAACTATGTCTATGTGTGCTATAACTTGATCCATGGTATGTAAGGTCAAACAATAAAAGGATATTTATAATACTTCCATTTGTTGGTTATAGTTTAGAGATATGTAATATTACTTCAAATAAAACTAACTTAGCTTTCAAGTAAAAAACAAACAATGTGCATATAGCAAGCAAACTGATATAAACTAAATGCAATTTGTAAAAAAAAAGTATCACCAAAGAGAAATATTTACATTTATTTGTTCATGTTTTCAGTAATGGCATTATACAGAATTTGTCACAAGACAATTAGGTTTGAACACAAAAAATACAAAAAATATAGCAACAACACCTGAAGAATGGCAATGGCTAAAATCATTATATAAGTATTACTTATCTTAAACTAAAATCTTTGTTGAAATATCAAGTAAACATTCTTGAGTATGTACAGGAGTTATATATAATTGCACCACTGATGTACAGATGAAACACCACTAGTTAAAGGTATGGAATTTGCCAGCTTTCTTATTACATTTTTATACATATATGAGTACCTTCTTGCCTTCTTCAGAAGAATTGATAAGAATTTATGTACACAAAGTTTTATTTTTGTTTATGGGCCATATCAAATTTTCAAACAAAAAAAAACAAACCTAAGCTACAAAATTCCAAACATAATGAGATACGAAGTTATGAAACAGCAATTTGTGGGATAATAGATTTATTTCTCTACATTTCATCTCTAACAATGAGACATGTTTATGAACAACAAATGTTTATGTGATCATGCCTCATTGTTAGAAATGAAACATTGTACAGAAATAAATCTATCATCCCAAAAATAACTGTTTCAAATCTTCAAACTGTTCGTAAGTTAAGAGGGTACACATAAAATGAAATGATGGTCTGTTATCCTTAGCTGTAATCATAGATGTTTAATCCATTCTCCCAGAATTAATACTGCAAAGCAAAAATGTGGTACTTTAAATGCATTTTTCAGCTACGTTTACTATCTTCTGTTTAAAGAAGAAATGGAAAATGAAGCCACACTAAGTAAAAGCCGTAGTGCTAGGGTTTAATAATTAAGACAATGCATATAATAACTTAAATCATTCAAGAATGCTGAAAACAGCATATGTACATAAACACAAATACAAAAAGTTTCTTATAGATTTGCACTTCTTAAACCTACCTTCAAAAATTAGTTAAAATACAGTTTCTGATCAAAAGTTTGGCACGGACTCGTATTTGGTTACGTTTATCATCTTGCAACATGTTTGGGATAAATCAAAATATTCACCAAAGTTGTAGCCAGAGTATAAATAACTATGACATAATCTAGTGATTTCAATTCATTGCAATATTTTGACCTGTTAGCCTTACACATACGATGATTGTAAAGGCTATTCAGTTAGACTGGATATTAGTATCTTTTGAATGGTAGTTAAATAGTTTAATATTTTATATTTACCAGAAACATTCTTATCTAGTCCTTAAAGAAAGGAGTTTCAGTAAGTGGTGTACAAACAGTTTTGCTTTGCCTCATAAATAATGCTAGCTTTTAAAAACAGGTGCTCTCTATACTCACACCTGGCAGTGGTTGATAGAAATCTTCAAGGTACCTGGGATAGTATTAGAATTGTGTCTTTGTCCAATTTCCACCACAATAATGAACTAGATTGTTGCTTGAAAAATGGTAGAGATAAACAGAAATTAAAATTACTGGTAACAGTAACTTCTTTGTCATAAACTATATGACCAATATCATTAAGGTCATAGGTGCCTGCAAATATTTCTTTGAAGCAATGAGACGTGCATCTTCTACCATAAATGTTTAACATTTCCAACAACATAAGATTGGGAAATTGACAATGTCAATGCTTTCTCCATTAAACCCTGTTTAACTGCTTGCTTCTGTCGCTCTTTAAAAATGCTTCTTTATAGCAAGAACTGAACAGAGTAGCTAAAGTGAAATTTTATTCTTTGTAATCTAACAAACCTAGTTTAAAGTTCTTTTTTTTTTTAAAGATGTTTTTGCTGTTCTCAGTTCAAAATGGCTTGTGTTACTATTCAACAGATAGTGATAAATAGCCACAATTATTACTTGATGAAACTAATTGTTTTAGTAATTTCTTCAAATAGTTGCAGCAATTTTAATAACCACTAATTTTTGTTGAAGTTCATGTTTATTTTGTCAGTGGCAAAAGGCATATTCATAGAATTAGTACATTGAATTTCATGTAGTCTGTACCTCTTGTATAATTTTCTTTTAAGGTATATTTACTTAAATAATTGTCCATAGTCATTCATTTTGAACATGCTAGATATGAGTGGTAAAATATGTAACAATTTTTCTACTGACTGTTATGAGATCAACTACAGCATACTGGGTTCTACAGCATTCATGATCACAAGTTACGTTATGGAGAAGAAATATGATTCACATGATAATTCACCTTTCACAATATTTGCTCCATTATCTCTTATTAGGAGGTGAATACTTTCTTTGTTTATTTTCTTAACATTCATTAGATATTCTAACATCTGCCCAATACCATCACAAGTATCATTGCCAGGAAAATGCCTTACAGTAAAAGTGGTATGTTGTAAATCCATATGTTTGATGATTCCAGTGTTTTGGTAAACTACTGCTAATGTTGATGTTCAGCATGACTATACACAGCGTGGTCACAAGTAAATAGACACCACCTTTTCAGAAAAAATGAAATTTTTCAGTCATATTCACATAAATTGATATATTTATAATTTAATTAATATCTAGTAGATCTTCCTTTTCGCTTCGTGGAGTTCATTGATCCTTTGAGGCATCGTGAGAATCATCTCGTCAATTTTAGATTGTGTGATTTTCGCCCACTATTGCTCCAAAACTTGGAGTAGATCACTCTTCAAAGTTGGTTTTTTTGGTTGTTTCTTGACTTGCCAGTTGAGTATGGCCCAGAGGTTTTCGATGGGGTTCATGTCAGGAGATTGGCTCGGCCAGGGCAACTTCTGGATACCATTTTCTTCCTGCCACTTTTGGGTGTTTCTAGCAGTGTGACACGGTGCTCCATCTTCCTGGAACAACATTGTGTTCTTGTCCACGAAACCCAACTCTTGCCACTTTATTCCAAAATATTGGAGGAAGGACGACGTATTTCGCAAAATTTATGTTGCCAACGCACTCCACTAAGCTCGATCTCCCACCAACCCAAACAGCTCCCCAAACCATCACGCTGAAACCACCATGCTTCACAGTTGGCTGCAATCTGATTCGTCTGAAAACAATACGGTCTTCCAAAAGTCCAGAGGCTTGGTCATCATATCACTTGCCCACTTCTTTCGTCAGACTATGTTGGCAGGTCTTAATAAGGGC